GCACGCACGCACACACACACACACACACACACACACACACACACACACACACACACACACACACACACACACACACACACACACACACACACACATACACACACACACACACACACACACACACACACACACACACACACACACACGCACGCACGCACGCACGCACGCACGCACGCACGCGCACACACACGCACGCACGCACTCACACGCACGCACGCACTCTCTCTCTCTCTCTCTCTCACTCACTCACTCACTCACTCACTCACTCACTCACTCACTCTCTCTCTCTCTCTCTCTCTCTCTCTCTCTCTCTCTCTCACTCACTCACTCACTCACTCACTCACTCACGTGCTCGCACACACACGCACGCACGCATTCACTCACTCACTGTCCACATGAGGTACTAAGGGACGCATCTGTGCTCAACCGTCCTGCGGTATAATTAATCATCATCAGCGTTTTATTTACTAATTTTCTCTCGAGTGGGTGTCGTATCTCGCGCACGTTGCATGTGCACTGTGGCAGGGAGGGGCGGGAGGAGGAGGAGGGGGGTAGAGGGCGGTTGAGGCGGGAGATAGCGGAGGCGTTTGTTGTTTCTGCCCCCCCCCCTCCTTCGAGCCCTCCCTTGTGTGCGTGCGTGTGTGTCTCTTTATGTATGTATGTATGTATACGTTTGTGTGTACCTATATAGACGCACGCGTGCATAAACACACACACTTCAAGGTGTATTTGTGTATACACTTATTCTGTGAATCTGTGCACTGTTTATGAAGTTGATCCCAAAAAGGCTTTGTCCCCGGCTTTGCGACGCTTGTGGTGATGCCCGGTGGTGCATGGGCTAAGTGGTGTTGCGTGGGCAGGCAGAGCAGCAACCGCGTCTGCTACATGCCCTGGCTCGGCCGCGGTCAAGAGGGCCTCAGTGCCACAGCACAAGTGGCCCTCTCATGGCGGGCCGAAGGGCGGCTGGCCATCCTCTTGATCCTCCTCCCGCCGCTGACCCGCCATCGATCATATCTGCGTGCATGCCGGATGCAGCCTTGCATAACAATAATAACCTCTTGTTCTCGGCGGGCCTGGAGCGCGTCAGGCACCTCTCCTCCGCCCAAAGCCCGCTGGGAGGGGAGGGGAGGCACACAAGCAATGGGGGAGGCAGTGCATACAAACAAAGATAATAAGGAAAATACTGCCCACAAGGCGAGGGATGGGAAAGCACTGCGCGCAGGGCAGGGAAGGGATTGCAAGAGAGTGGGGGAAAGGCACTGCAAGCTGGTATGTTGCAAACAGAACAATTCAGTATGATGTAAGCAAGAAAGCCTTTTGCTATTAACCCATTCTCGTGTGAGTTCACTTGTTTAATTGTTTTTAAACATAGCTGTCTACACTTGCACTAAATCACCGATGAGCTAATTACGAGTGCTGCCTGTCTCGCCCGTTTACCCTTTTCTTTGATTTACGAAAATATTTTATGTTATCTTATTTTGCTATTACTAATGTTTATAACATTATAGTAATTATAATGTTTATGATAAAATAACACCATCGATATTCATAGCACTAGTAAAAAGTAAATTTTCCCGCCAATTCAAGGAAAGGTGAAATCAGGTAAGGCAGAGCCATCTATGTGTAGAGACATTTCACAAAAAAAATATAACAAATGAGCACAGCACTATCCCCATTTTTTATTCATTTTCCCGGCGGCAATGGGTTAAGAAGACACAACAGTATGTTATAAACAAGGCAAGGCTATTTTAGAGCACGGTAAGATGAGGCAAAAATGACGCAATAACATGTAAAGAAGGCGGAGCGCGGCCCAATACTGCATGGCAGTGACCACGAACAAGGAAGAGGAGAGTGGAAAACTAAAGGAAGAGAAAGACAGACAGGAACAAAAGTCAGGAAGAGAGGCGAGAACAAGAGTAAGTGAGAAAGAGAGGCGAAAATGAAGGGACACATGGTCTTGAGGGGGCTGGTGGTCCTCAAGGGGCCCTCAGTGCCACAGCATCGGCGCAAGTGGCCCTCTCATGGCCGGGGTCGAAGAGCGGCTGGAAATAGGCTTTCTTAAGACTTGGCAACAATGTCATGATGCTACTCACGATGTGACACTAAGAACTACAACAGGGACGGCGACTACAAATGCAAATGCAAGTGCAGCAGCAACAAAACAACAACAACAACTATAACAATAACAATAACAACGACGATGACGACGACAGCACAATACAATACAATATCAGTAACAAAAACAATGAATTGAAACCTTAGACAGAGACTACGCGTTGCTTTGGTTGCGGGAAGCACACAACACGGCAGTAGCTGTAGTAGTGAGTAATAGCATGAGTCACCCACGTGGGCCAGGTGGGGAGCGGCGCGGCGGGGGAGGGAGGGTGTGTGGGGGCGTGAGCCGCTTTGGCCCACCATTGATCTACCGCGTGGCCTCCCCTCCCCGGCGCTCCACGGACGCTATCGCAGCCACTCACGTCATCACTGCTATCAGGTGAACACTCACCAGGTGAACGCGATCAGTTCGTAGCGAAACTTGTGTGGACGCCGCGCCGCGCTCGGGGAGAAGGCGGCGGGAGGATTCCAAGGAAAATACAGGACAAATTATGGTGCTTTACTGTACAAGACAACAGGCTGTCACGCCATTGTTATCGGCGGGAGGATAGCCGCGTGCGTTGTTCCTGGCGCTGGACGTTGCTTTGTGGGTCAGGTTTGTTGTTGTGAGCGGGGAGCCGCACGCGGGGCTGGCGTCGGGGCGGACAGCCAGCGCTCGCTCGCACTTCCCTGAGCTCGCAGCGCCAAACTTCTCGAGATGGAGGAGGAAAAGTTACGAAAAAGTATTGTGTGGCCGGCGCGGAAGGAGAGGCTCGGGCGCTCGTGGTTTACGAAATGGTACTGGAGGAAAAGGGCCTCGGACGGAACCGGTGAGAGGGACAGGAGGAGAAACAGAATGCAGGGAGGCAGAAGAAGGGAGGGAGAGAACGAGAGGGATAGAGAGAGAACGAGAGGGATAGAGAGAGAACGAGAGGGATAGAGAGAGAACGAGAGGGATAGAGAGAGAACGAGAGGGATAGAGAGAGAACGAGAGAGGGATAGAGAGAGAGAACGAGAGAGGGATAGAGAGAGAGAGAGAGAGAGGGAGAGAGAGAGAGAGAGAGAGAGAGAGAGAGAGAGAGAGAGAGAGAGAGAGAGAGAGAGAGAGAGAGAGAGAGAGAGAGAGGGGAGAGAGAGATAGAGAGAGAGAGGGAGAGAG